GTCTACCAGTACTTGTTGGTTGGAGCGAGGTCCAGGATTTCAGAGATCCGGCATTGGTCTACCAGTACTTGTTGGTTGGAGCGAGGTCCAGGATTTCATAGATCCGGCATTGGTCTACCAGTACTTGTTGGTTGGAGCGAGGTCCGGGATTTCAGAGATCCGGCATTGGTCTACCAGTACTTGTTGGTTGGAGCGAGGTCCAGGATTTCATAGGTCCGGCATTAGTCTACCAGTACTTGTTGGTTGGAGCGAGGTCCAGGATTCCATAGGTCCGGCATTGGTCTACCAGTACTTGTTGGTTGGAGCGAGGTCCAGGATTTCATAGGTCCGGCATTAGTCTACCAGTACTTGTTGGTTGGAGCGAGGTCCAGGATTTCATAGGTCCGGCATTGGTCTACCAGTACTTGGTTGGAGCGAGGTCCAGGATTTCATAGATCCGGCATTAGTCTACCAGTACTTGTTGGTTGGAGCGAGGTCCAGGATTTCATAGGTCCGGCATTAGTCTACCAGTACTTGTTGAGTGAAGAAACATTTTTGCAAAGATCAGCGGTGCTGAAGAACAGACGTCCACTCTCCTGAGGACACTCACCCTGAGGCCTACTGGTAGTAGGTTGGGTTATCCAGGACTGGCCTACGATTTAGTTTGCCGTTGTCCATTTATCCTGTCGGTGGCAGTATAACCTGAAGGGTTCCTGTGTCTCTCCAGCGGACAGGAAATAGAAAGGAGCTCCTTTCCATTGTGGATTTACTCCTCTCATGGTTGTCACGCTGATCTTCATGCTTAGTCAAAGGCTTGCCATCTATGCAGATCAGTTCTGACTAGGGATGTCCCGATACCAAGTACTTCCCCTCGGGTAATCGCCGATAACAATTACCGATACATTTTCTTAAAGGGACAGGTGACATTTAAAAAAAAAACAATACAGACTTAATGATTTTAGGCCAAATTCTTTATGATTATGAAGAACTTTAATTTAAAGGAGAACTATGGGGGGGAGGGGGGGGTGCTTTTCACTCACCTCATAGTTCTAGCCGCCCTGTGACAATGAGACAATGCGGTGTGACAATGAGACTGTCACAGGTCGGCTCAGTAGATCGGGAGGTGAGAGAACACATACCGGCGTTCGCTCACCTCTCCATCCTGTCACAGCTCTCCATCCTGTCACAGCTCTCTGCTGTGACGGGGGAGGGGCTGGATTCCCCGCTCCGATCCTCCAGCGCTGACTGGCGAAACGGAGGGGGCAGGTACAGCTGGCTCTGCCTCTAGATAGGAGGAGCCAGCTGTCACTCACGCAGCTGGGCGGATCCAGATGTCCAGGTCGGGATCCGCTCCGGCTGCAGCTTCTCAGTATACCGCGAGCTGTAGCTGTACTACCAGTACTACAGTGAAACTACAAATCCGATCATGCATCTGCCTCTGGGATCATTTATTAACCCATTCATGTCAGCAGGGGATCATTGTATATCTATTGCTGCCGTGTATTGTATATGTAGTACTTATATACAGTACACACTCCCAGTACACTGCAGCCAGAGATTGTTCACACTCCCACTTCAGCCCCGTCTCACTCACTGGCGCCTCACAAGGTGCCGAACGGTTTTCCTCACACATGAGGACGTCGGCGGTGGCGCTGAGCTGGAGAGGAGCGTCACTGCTGCTCCGGTGGTCGGCGCTCCAGGTGGGGGTTCTAATGTGGGTGGGTGTCAGGGGCGCTATGTATCGTCAGGGGCGCTATGTATCGTCAGGGGCGCTATGTATCGTCAGGGGCGCTATGTATCGTCAGGGGCGCTATGTATCGTCAGGGGCGCTATGTATCGTCAGGGGCGCTATGTATCGGCATCGGGACATCCCTAGTTGGCTGACTAAGGCTCGTTTATGGCCATTGACTTTGTATTGAAGCCGGAGGATTAGAGCCAGGCAGGTAACATTTTCAGATGAAGTGGGACCCGGCTCCTGTCATTGGATCAGCCAGGACATGTGATATGTATGTAGTATGTTGGGTCAGTGAGGTAAGGATGAAGCCCCGTCACATAATAACGCTCCTGTATTTCCATGTGTGCGTGGACAGGGTCTCTTTACACCCGGTAATATTTTCTCTCCTATCTGCAGAGAAATACAACTTTCTCGGCATCTCCATTGTGGGGCAGAGCAACGAGCGCGGCGATGGCGGGATCTACATCGGCTCCATCATGAAAGGTGGAGCTGTAGCTGCAGACGGAAGGATTGAGCCGGGAGACATGTTACTACAGGTCAGTGGTCCTCTGTAGCTCCGCCCATCCAATCCATCTGGTTGGATAAACGGGGAGCTTTGATACGGGTTCCTGCAGATGATGGCGGCATGAACTGCCATTGCAGCGAGGAGTCTCTCCTCATTGGTATGCAGATACCAGCTTTCTCTAATAGGATCTGCATATGAATAGTCAGACCGCCCCATGTGACCAGCCTGGGCCCCCTACTGGAGACGAAGGGCAGCGCCCAGTCTTGTGTCCGGAGGCTCCAGGCAGCTTTATACTCCCATAATGCCCCCACTTCTGTGCTGTGGTTGTTCGGTCACTTTATGTGACCCTAAATGTCCCAACACATCATTAGACCCGTCACCAGAGGATAACCGTGTAACAAGGATTAGGAGGCCGCCAATGGATGGATGGCTGAGGAGGCCGCGGATGGATGGGTGGCTTGGCTGAGGAGGCCGCGGATGGATGGGTGGCTTGGCTGAGGAGGCCTGCCGCGACTGGATGGATAAGGATGGGATTCCTCTGCAGCCTCCAGTAGCTGTATCAGTGTTGACTCTTCTGTTTATGGATGAAGGGATTTGACTTTGATTTCTTGGAGCAAATACTGCTCGGGGCTCCAAGTGCTGTTCACATGATGGTCCTAAAGTTCAGATTGGCTGATCCTTCCACTGAGGTCCCATGACCAGATGTGTATGTGCGGTGACCGTGGCGTGGGCCTTGGCGGTGACCGTGGCGTGGGCCTTGGCGGTGACCGTGGCGTGGGCCTTGGCGGTGACCGTGGCGTGGGCCTTGGCGGTGACCGTGGCGTGGGCCTTGGCGGTGACCGTGGCGTGGGCCTTGGCGGTGACCGTGGCGTGGGCCTTGGCGGTGACCGTGGCGTGGGCCTTGGCGGTGACCGTGGCGTGGGCCTTGGCGGTGACCGTGGCGTGGGCCTTGGCGGTGACCGTGGCGTGGGCCTTGGCGGTGACCGTGGCGTGGGCCTTGGCGGTGACCGTGGCGTGGGCCTTGGCGGTGACCGTGGCGTGGGCCTTGGCGGTGACCGTGGCGTGGGCCTTGGCGGTGACCGTGGCGTGGGCCTTGGCGGTGACCGTGGCGTGGGCCTTGGCGGTGACCGTGGCGTGGGCCTTGGCGGTGACCGTGGCGTGGGCCTTGGCGGTGACCGTGGCGTGGGCCTTGGCGGTGACCGTGGCGTGGGCCTTGGCGGTGACCGTGGCGTGGGCCTTGGCGGTGACCGTGGCGTGGGCCTTGGCGGTGACCGTGGCGTGGGCCTTGGCGGTGACCGTGGCGTGGGCCTTGGCGGTGACCGTGGCGTGGGCCTTGGCGGTGACCGTGGCGTGGGCCTTGGCGGTGACCGTGGCGTGGGCCTTGGCGGTGACCGTGGCGTGGGCCTTGGCGGTGACCGTGGCGTGGGCCTTGGCGGTGACCGTGGCGTGGGCCTTGGCGGTGACCGTGGCGTGGGCCTTGGCGGTGACCGTGGCGTGGGCCTTGGCGGTGACCGTGGCGTGGGCCTTGGCGGTGACCGTGGCGTGGGCCTTGGCGGTGACCGTGGCGTGGGCCTCAGATACAAGGTTCTGGGAAATGTTAGGAGATAAATCACACAAATGGGTTGAACTGTAACTTGTCTTCTTTCAACATCACGTGTTGCTATGTGACCGTGTTGCTATGTGACCGTGTTGCTATGTGACCGTGTTGCCATGTTGTCTTTCAGGTCAATGATATCAATTTTGAGAATATGAGCAATGATGATGCTGTTCGGGTCCTGAGAGACATTGTCCATAAACCAGGGTAAGGTGGTAAAATTGCTGCTGCCCCCAGTCTGAGCTCTGCTGTACAGAGTCTGCACTGTGTGGCCACCGTGCGGGATGAGGGAAGGCAGTGTGGGCACAGT